ATATACTTATATCATTTTTTACTCAAGCAATTTCTAGTAACTTATAACCAAGTGAAAGAAAGCATTCTTGATGTGCTTCAGAGTTTAACCCTTGCATATGTTAGAAAAGGCCAAGCGGCATAGTGGGAAAATGGGAAAATGAACCATGACATTCTCAGGTTAGGTGTGAGTACTTCACATAAACATGCCATTTTCTTCTTCCACGACTGCACAGAATTTCTTCAGCTGTATCAAACAGCAAAGGTGGAAGACAGAAGGGCCTCAGCTTCCCGGGCTCGCCCTGCGGCCCGGGGTCTTCGGCCCACCGGGACCCTGTCAATCATGTGGACCTCCAAGGATGGCTCCCAACAGCCAGCCCACTTTTCTGCCACAGGGTTAGTGGGAGACAATCTGTCATGCCAGGTGATTGCCATGAGGCCAACTGCTGACCCCGGAGCAGTTACTCATGTGTTTCTGTGTTCATTCACTCAATCATACAAGAAATATATTTGAGCATTTGCCACAGTTCAGCCTGTAATCCCAGCACTTTGGGAGGCTGAGGCAAGTGGATTGCCTGAGCTCGCAAGTTTGAGACCTGCCCGGACAACTCCTATCCCAGCTTGTTTTGTACTAAATCGCTTTTCTATTTTAAATATTTGCCTCCACCTATAAAACTCAAGTTAACCTAACCAGAACTTCATGACCTTCATGACACGGACAGACCCCACCACCATGGCATCAATCTTGTGACTAACCCACCCATCTGCCTGGTGTCCATCACCTGACATCAGTACCTGCACTTACATGCCCCTTTGTGATGACGTGGAGCAGATCACCGTCCAATCACCTTAATGACCTTTCCCCATCAAAGGGAAGGATAAAAAAGACTCAACCACGAGCAACCAGCAGCCATTGCCAGGCCATTGCCAGGCCATTGCCACCACTGCCTTGCTGAACTATGGTGTGGCCATGTGCTCTTTGAGCTATGGTCAGGCCATGTTTTCTTAAGCTTTGGCCCCCTCCCCTCCCTTGGTGAGGTGAATTCCCTCTTTCTCTCTCTCCAATTTGCCTTCTAAATAAACGATATTTTAGAATCTAACTTCTATGCAATTCTTTGCATCTTTCATGTGGCATTGTATTGCACACCAGACAACCACATCCCCAGTATGCCTGACCTAACATTCTAGAGGCCTCGCTGGGAATGTGCCCTAACAAATATAAGTCTTTACATATTAGATTTCACTTTACTATTTGACTTTGTCAGAATTGCTCCTTACAATCAATATATGACAATGACTCCATCTAGTAATAGGTATGAGGATGAGGGAGGTAAAAGGTGGAACTGTACAAATGTATGTATGCATTTTTGAAATTGTGTGTTTTATTTTATTTATTTATTTATTTATTTATTTTTTGAGTTGGAGTCTCACTCTGTCGCCCAGACTGGAGTGCAGTGGCCGCTCCCAGCCACTGTAGCCTCGACCTGCTGGGCTCCGGCGATCCTTCCGCCTCAGCCTTCCAAGTAGCTGGAACTACAGGAGCGTGCTACCACCCCCAGCTCATTTTGATTTATTGTAGAGATGATATCTCGCTGCCCAGGAGGGTCTCAAACCCGTGGGCTCAGGCAATCCACTCACCTCAGCCTCCCAAAGGTACGGGATTACAGGCTGAGCCACCGAGCCCAGCTGAAATTGTGTGTTTTAAATCTATATTTTTAAGAAGTACATATTTTAAGTGTGATCCTATTTTCAGGTTTTATTCTTTCTCATTTAACATCTGTTAGTGCAAATCATGATCCTCTAAAGCTAGAATCTTTCACCTCCTTGTAACATTCTCATCCAAGTCCCTACATACCTTAGACCAAATTATATGAGACCAGATAGTTAAAAGAAAGCAGTTATGTGTGGGTTCTGTGTTGAGGTAGATAACATTCTGGTGTACAGCTGTATCTCCTATAAATTGAGAATCCGATTGGATAAGTGGCACATTTTCTTTTCTTAATTAAATAAACACATTCATGCTACATACATAGCCCATGAGTTGTCAGCACCGAATATCTCTTCTTTTTTTTTTCTTTCCTTTAAGCCTCAAATATTCGTTTTAAAGCTTCTGCACTATGTGGCAAAGCTGAATTGTTTTCCATTATTGGAACAGTGAACAACTTTGCAGGATTTGGAGGAGGGAAAACCAGTGAAGAGTCTCCCATATCCTGTATAATTGTTTTATAACACCTGCTATTTGCAATGATTGAGGTATTTAAAACTCTAACAGGAGAGGGCGCAGTGGCTCATGCCTGTAATCCCAGCACTTTGGGAGGCAGAGGAGAGAGGACTGACTAAACCCAGGACTTTGAGACCAGTCTGGACAACTTGACAAGACCTTAAAAAAAAAAATTAGCTGGGTGTGGTGGTCTTCCTGTAGTTCCAGCTACTTGGAAGGCTGAGGCAGAAGAATCGCCTGAGCCCAGTAGGTTGAGGCTGCAGTAGCTGAGATTGCGCCACTGTACTCCAGCCTGGGTGACAGAGTGAGACTGACTCAAAAACAACAAAAAAAAAAACCCTCTAACAGGAGTATATCAAATTAATAAATATTTTTAGAAAGTCTGTACGTTTTGAAAAGAAAACATATCCTCTTTAAATTCTCTGATAAAAGTAAGGAAGCAATACCAGTTATGTATGCTAAAGTTAGTTTCATAGATACCATCATAGACATTATTCAACATTGATATTTATATTCACATTAATATATGGCATAGACATGGAAATACACTTCCCAGATCCTCCTTGAAACAAGGACTTGCCCAGTTGCAGAAAGCACAGTTAACAGATAGGTACCAGCTGCCTAATGTTTACTTTACTTAATGTTAATGTTTACTTCAGCTGCAGGGCTTCATCCCACTCAGAGGAGGTAAGAGATGACCTCTTTGAAAGTGTTGCTTAATCAGAGACCTATATAAATTGGGGGAGGAAATGAGATCAGCAACAATCAGGTAAAAGGGGAGGTGAAAGTGCAAACACCTTAAGACAAAAAAAGTATCTTTTTTGTGGAAATAGTCAGAAGAACTTGAAGCTCTGAAGTAATATCAAATAATATAATATCAAATGGGGGTGGGGACAAAAATGGTGGTCCAGAGTCCTTTTGGCCCAATATGGCACATCTCTGACAGATAACTGGTTCCAGAGCTCTCTATGGGGTTGGTTGAGTATTTGTCTGGCCTGTATTACAGTTTGATATTTTCCTCTATCCAATCCTAGTTTTTCCACCTCACTACACATGTTACACTCCAAACTCTATCTCACCATCTGCTTACCAAGAACCCAACATGTGTCACCATATGATAATTTATCTTCCTGGGTCTCCTGCATTTTATTAACTTTTTTTTTTTTTGAGTCAGAGTCTCACTCTGTTCCCCAGGCTGGAGTGCAGTGACATGCTCACAAACACCACAGTCTGGACCTGCTGGGCTCAGACAATCCTTCTGTTTCAGCCTTCCAAGTAGTTGGAACTACTTGGTGTGTGCCACCATGCCCAGCTAATTAAAAAAAAAAATTTTATTGTAGAGCTCAGGTCTTGCCAAGTTGCCCAGGCTAGTCTCGAATCCCTGGACTCAGGCAATCCTCTCGCCTCCACCTTGCAAGGTGCTGAGATTACAGGTATAAGCCACCGTGCTTGGCCTTTATTTAAACTTTTTATTCAACAGGGCTTCTTCAGGCAAAGACTGGGAGTAGCAAATAAATCTGGGTTTACTGAATTATAACCTATGTCTTCTTAAATCTTGCAGTTTGTGAACCACATAAAGCTTTTTTAAAAAGTGTCTTGTATTTCACAGCTTATATTTTTCTACATTCAAAAACCAATTCCTATCCATAGCTTTTTCTGTCTAGCTAATGTTCTATTTTATTATCTCAGATCAGAATTGCTATTTCTGTTGATTAATGTCCATATTAACTTAAATACCCTACAAATTCCTATATTAGGGGTTTTCTCCCTCCCCTCCCCCATTTGATATTATTTGCTTCTACTTCATAGCTTCAAGGCCTTCTGGCTATTTCCTTTTTTGTAAAAGATACTTTTTTCTGTCTTAAGATGTTTACACTTTCATCTCTCCTTTTCCCTGATAATTGCCTATTTCATTCTCCCCACTCCCCCATTTATATAGGTCTCTGATTAAGTAACACTTTCAGAGATCATCTCTTACCTCCTATCTAAAATAGTAGCCCTTGTTATGTTGTATAACTTATTTCATTTGTATTTCCTTCATAGAATATTACCTGACATATTACATATATGCATTTTTATATTATGTCTCCCTCACCTGATTAATTTCCAAGAAGGTTCCTCTGGGTTGCACTCACTGTTGTCTCCCAAGGTATTAAGATTGCTTTAAGATTGCATTATTAAGAGAATCCCTCACTTCACATGTTGATCCTTAATAAACATCTTCCGAAGAAACGGAACCAAGGATTACTAATATGAACTTCGTAGAGTTCTGCATAGTTTTAATAAGTAAAACTTGTCTTAACTGCCCCTGGAACCCAATCCTGAACGGAAATGGTTACTGAGAGAATTTTAACCATTTCACCAACTGAAAACTTTTTCAAGAAACCAGACCGTTCTCTTCCAGGACTTACTAGTATAGAAGTGCTCAAAACTGGGAAACTTACATGAGGACAATTGACATGTCCCACACTTATGCTTGGCAACACCGCGGGTAAAGTAGTTAAACTGGAGTTAAATAAGGAGGGTAGTGAATAGGTGTCAGGGACTTGCAGGTCTAATCGCACCTGTTCCTCCCACCGCATACGGCCTTCCTGTTCTTGGCAGACTATGCTCGCCAGTTTACTTTGCTTTCCAGTAGGTTACAGCCAACATTTCACTCAGAAGTACCGTGAAGAGTTGCTTTTAGCCCCCTAACCCCGAAACGTGGTCAGCACAAAAATTGAACCCTAGTGTTCAGCTTTTTCCAGAACAATGTGGGTGGCTCTTAAAAGAGCCTTTGTTTTCCAGCGTTCACAAATTCCCTATTTGGTCTTGTGGTGACTTTCGGTCTTCTTGGGCAACAGCACCGCCTGGATATTAGGCAGAACGCCGCCCTGCGCGATGGTAACTTTGCCTAGTAACTTGTTGAGTTCCTCGTCGTTGCGGATGGCCAGCTGCAGGTGACGCGGGATAATACGCGTTTTCTTGTTGTCTCGGGCCGCGTTGCCAGCCAACTCCAAGATTTCGGCGGTCAGATACTCCAGCACCGCCGCCAGGTACACTGGCGCGCCGGCCCCAACCCGCTCAGCATAGTTACCTTTACGGAGCAGACGGTGTACACGACCCACAGGAAACTGCAAACCGGCCCGCGAAGAACGGGTCTTGGCTTTAGCGCGAGCCTTACCACCCTGCTTTCCGCGTCCGGACATAACGACCAAACTAAACTCGCTGCAGGTAGCTAATGAAAGCACTGGGGCGGCACTTTTTATAACCATTATTGGGCGCGAAAAAGAAGACGTATCATTGGTTAGAATTGTAACTTTACTTTAGCCAATGAAAATGCGATTTCTGATTTTGCACATTCTGATTGGTCAAAACTTTTCTCTGACGTTAACCCGAATAGCTACCAATCAGACACAAGACTGTAATTCTTTACCTTATTTGCATGAGAGGTTCTATATATAAGCCGCACATCGTACTTTGTTAATGTTGGTTCTCTCTTCGAGATTCGTCAGTTTGTTCTCGCCATGCCTGAGCCGGCAAAATCAGCCCCTGCCCCAAAGAAGGGTTCTAAGAAGGCGGTTACTAAGGCGCAGAAGAAGGACGGCAAGAAACGCAAGCGCAGCCGCAAGGAGAGCTACTCCGTCTATGTGTACAAGGTGCTGAAACAAGTGCACCCCGACACCGGCATCTCATCCAAGGCCATGGGCATCATGAATTCCTTCGTCAACGACATCTTCGAACGCATCGCGGGCGAGGCGTCGCGCCTGGCGCATTACAACAAGCGCTCGACCATCACCTCCAGGGAGATCCAGACGGCCGTGCGCCTGCTGCTGCCCGGGGAGCTGGCCAAGCACGCTGTGTCCGAGGGCACCAAGGCCGTCACCAAGTACACCAGTGCCAAGTAAACTTGCCACTTGCCGAATAAGCGTCTTTAAACCGAATCCCAAAGGCTCTTTTAAGAGCCACTTAACGTTCTCTTTATTAGAGCAGCAAACACATTTCTAAACCTGGGCTTAAATTTGGGCGATCTTAAAACAATCACCTCACGCTGGATAACGCATACGTTGCTCGTAACTCAGTTTGGCTAAAGAGAATTTAAGCCATGCTGTACTAATATCCAGTGTGTCTTTAAGAAACAATGGCGCCTAAAAAAAAAAGAAAACGTGCAGGAAACTCCTTGTGTTCACAGAAAACGTTCCCTGACTTTGGGCGCGAAAATATAATCTGTTTGGCGTGCTATGGCTTCTTGTTTAAAATCCGCCTGCTGTGTCGCGTACTCTTTTCCTGTACCATTGGATTCATAGTTGCGTTTACGTCCTCCAATTAACTGTACCTGTTAAAAATAATTGGGAAGCTGATAGGTTATTAGTCGAACCTGGCATTTCACCCCGCTTTTTTTTTTCTTCCCTCCTCTCAGTATGTGGTTGGTTGGGAAGATGCCAGATCACCAGGAAGAATAAAGTGCAAGGCAAAAACGAGAAGCATAGCATCTTTTCGTGATCAGTTTGCTACTTTTAAAGACATGTTCAACGTTCACTGATTCAACCAGTAGTTTCTTTATTCGACAAAGTTTATGGAACTTTGAGAGGAAAAAATTTGGAGTTCAGAGAGGAAACGACAGAACAGGGCTAGGTAGGTCTCTGAAGCAGACATTTGAGTAGGGGGTAAGGGAACTGCCCCGGGCCCAGGGTTTGCGCGGAGTAGGATGGGTGGGTTTTGTTGTGTGAATGGACTCTCTGGGATGGCTATTCATGTCGATAATAAGTGTGTAGTTTTTTTGGAAGGACAAATTGAAAGGAAGGGTCTATTATTTTGAAGTAGATTGTGCCCTGGCCAAATTTGTGGTTTAGAACTGTAGGCCAGCTTCATAGGAAAGTAATTTATTCTGTTCCACTAATTCAACAGCATATATGTTTAAGTGTGTATGTAGATACATATATTTTGTCATGCACTTATTCTAGTCTTTGGGGATACAATGAGTTAACATATGTAATGAAGTCTGTGCCCTTGGAAGTGTATTTGGAGATTAGGGTCAAATTGAAACATTTCACACATGCAGAGTGTATGTTCACTGTTCATCTAAATCTTACCCTACCAGCGATTTATGGATTACATTAATATTCTAAGAAATGTATCAACAAATATTATGCTTACTGAGTGTTTACCAATATATGGAGCACTGATCTATATACATGACTGTGGTGTTAACTCGTTTAAACTTCACACAAATGTATGAGGTCTAGGCACTGTAAACCGAAAATAAAATTCTAACTCCCCACCCAACTGACTAAACGGTTCTCCATCTTGGCCAAGGGAACCCAGAGAAACCTGAAAAACTGCCATGACATGGAGGTTGGACACGCCTCATTATATATAATCCTTCCCTTTGGAAAAGTTGTGGTACAAATAGCCAGCATTAGTGTTAAAATAGATTATACTAACAAAAGAGGCTGACAGTAAGATGCCAGATGAAACAAGACCTAAGGCCTTGGAAGGCGAGTTACATCCTACAAACCATAAAATCTCACTGTGTTTTTTACTAATGGGATTTACTGGTTACTTTCCAACCTGACTGTATAACATCACAGTACAGATAGCAGACCCCCACGCTCCTTATATTAAGCATTCTTTTCTACTGACTTCAACTCATTAGACAAAACTTAATCAACTCTTTCAACCAACTGCTAGCCAGAAAATCTTTGAATCCACCTACCAGAAGCACACACCCCCTCACCCCACCCCTGCCAAGATGCCCCACCTTTTCTAGCCAAACGGCTCTATACCTTCCATGTATTGATTTATAATTTTACCTACAGTTTCTGACTCCCTAAAATTTATAAAAACAAACTGTAATCCTAATGCCTTGGGGACACTTTCTTTGAACCTCTTGAGGCTGTTTTCCGGACCATGATCATGCACTTGGTTCAGAATAAACCTCTTTAAATATATTAGTTTGGTTTTTTCGTTAACAGTATTATTATTATGATACACATTTTCAAATATGAAAAGTAAAGTACAAAGAGGTGGAAGCTTGTCTTTTAAAGAGGAGAAAGCAAGGGCATAGGCAATAGGAGAGGGAATAAGTCAGAAGTGAAGAGGGGATGGTATAATTTGAGCTTCCTTTAGTAGTTTCCCAAGGAGGACACCCTTCACTCACCTAAATACCTGCTCCTGAATTCATTTTTATAGATAGTAAAGATCTATATAACCCATGGGCTGATCAAGTAACTCACAGGAGAAAATTGTAACAGTATAGTGTCTCTGCCTATTTAGAATTCACTGAAAAAAAGGAGATACTTAAGAAAAATAATACTTACATAATTCATTATTAGTATACATTTTCTTCAATAAGTGTTCTAGGTTCCAGCTACAGGGAACTTTTGGTAGTTTGTCTAAAACATACCATGCCACCCTTCAAGTGGTGCTTAATATAAGGGGCGTGGGGGTCTGCTATCTGTACTGTGATGTTATACAGAGTCAGGTTGGAAAGTAACCAGTAAATCCCATTAGTAAAAAACACTTAATGAGATTTTATGGTTTGTAGGATGTAACTTGCCTTCCATGGCCTTAGGTCTTGTTTCATCTGAAGGGTTTCTCTTCTAAGGTTAAGATTTAACGTGGAGTTATTCATAACATAATTAATTTTAGGTTTTTTGTTTTTTCTTTTATCAGTTGGAGTCTCACTCTGTTGCCCAGACTGGAGTGCAGTGGCCATTCCCGGTCACCGCAGCCTTGACCTGCTGGGCTCCGGTGATCCTTCCGCCTCAGTCTTCCAAGTAGCAGGAATTACAGATGCCCGCTACCACGCCTGGCTAGTTTTTAATTTATTGTAGAGATGAGGTCTCAGCAACTTACACGGGCGGGTCTCGAACCCTCGGCCTCAGGCAATCCACTCACCTTGGCCTCCCAAAGGGATTACAGGCTGAGCCACAGAGTCCGGCCTAATTTTAGGTTTCCAGTTTAGCAAATGGACATATCTTCTTGATTTTACAAAATTTACTTTCAGACCTTTTTGCTCTTGTTCTAAAATTCTGAAAGTGCATTGTTTTAATAGAATATTTGATGGAAGTGGCCATAACTTTTTCATGCTTTCACTCTAACCTCTTTTCTCCCTTCAGATGGATCTCATTTTGTTTTTCTGAATAGCATCTAATTTAACAGCTGGAAGGAATCCCAAAGTTCAGATCAATCTTCTTTTGCAATTAGCAAAATCATACAGAGCTTAAGTAATTTGCTCAAATTACTAGAGGCAGAACAAAATTCCATTATGTTTTTCTCCTTTATATTATATATCTTTGTCATATTTTCTCTTTATCCATGTCTATTAATTTGACTTAATTTGGAACAAAAATAAAACTCTTGTAACTTCTTTATATATAATAACCTCTTAAATTAGTCAAAAGTTGAATGTTCTAAATTAATGCCTCCCAAAATAATTTACTTTTAAAAGAGTAGTCCATGCTTTAAAGCAATTACTGTGTGACTCTGAACCATAGCAGTTAAATCTGGCAATTGTTATAGCCCCCCGAAGAACACTTACATGGGATAATTTCCTACTTCAGATTTGCCCATCTTTTGAAAAACAGAGAGTAGCTTTGGGATTGAAACATGGGAGTTTAATTATTTTAACTGTGGTTAATGACTCAGCAGTCATATGTCTGGTCTCTTATTAAGTGCCTTTGGGTCTAGATGTTGAGGTAAAAAGGTCAAGGGCCTAAAAAAATGGCAGATGGAAAAACTTAGTCATTTTTACTCTGAGTGCTTAATACAAAGGAACAAATTTCACAACTCTATGTCCATGAGAACTGTAATATGTCACAATACTTTCCTAATCTGAGATATGAGCAGAGTTGGGAGAAGACTACATCTCTATCTTCAATAATATAAATAGAGAAAAAATAAATTTGTTCATTTTATTTCTTTTGCCACTTTCTCATTCTTTCTTAAACTAAGATTTTTTTTTTGTCTCTGCGTTATTAGTATATTTGGGTCTGAAAGCTTAAAAACAGTTTCTAGTTAGTTAATTTAAGACACTACCCAATAGAAATATAATGCAAGTCATATATGTACTTATTTTTCTAGTAACTACATTTTTGAAAAGGTAAAAAACAGATAAAATTAATTTTAATATGTTGTTTGCTCCAATATATCAAAAATATTATTTCAGCAGTCAATACAGAATTTATTAAATAAACATCTTGCATTTTTTTCATTACGTCTTCAAAATCTGATGTGTACTTTGCAGTTTTACAGTACATCAAAATTCTACATTTTCATGGGAAATTTTTGATCTGTATTTAGACCTCTTTAATTTACAGTTGAATCAGTAGATTCAGATTACTGTTCCTAAACTGGTGCAAGGATAATTGAATGTTATCTAATAGCTGAATTCGGTATCCATTTAAAAATGTAAACTACTTAAAATAAAATTTAATTAAATATTCACTCCCTCAGTCACATGCCACATTTCAAGTGCTCAATAGCGACACATGGCTAGGGCTGTATCATACTACACTCAGTGAGCAAAACTTGACAAAACCTGTGGGGTTGCTATGCAAAAGATTATGATCCCTTCTGGAATGACCAGTTACTACAGCTTTTCATAATGGAGTGTTCAATCCAGGGAACTTGGAAAATAAATGACAGATAGGAAAGGACACGATACACCTCTGCAGATTTCTTTAACAACAACACAACTATGTAGACACAAAATAAAAATAAAACCACTTTTTCAGACAAGTCCCTCACCCGAGAGAGATTGGATTAGTTCATTTCAGTTGGGAGAGTCACAGGGCACATCTAGTATCTGTCCTGACACATTTCCCCAAATTCTCCATTATAGGACTAGCACCACTACCTACTTTTTATAATAGCTTGTCTATATACTGAGAGGTTGATTAAGACTACTACAGGCTTGAGGGAGTGTATATTCAGGGCAACTTGAGTCTATGCTCCAAGAAAATTAAAAATTAAAACATATAAAAAAAAGGTTGCAGGTTTGGGTCATTGGATTAACATTTGTGACTTGATTATTTCATTTGGTCATCAGTGCCTATTTTGCCATTTAAAAATGAGGATAATTAGATCTATCTTACAAGAATACATGAGATAATCCATGTAAAGCACTTATACAAATTTTAATGAATTTTCAATATATCTTAGATATCATTTATAGCTCTTTCATTACTTTCTAATGTCTCTTGCGATACTTTGCAGATTTAAGCATTCAGTTAATCATTGCTTAGTATGAGAATAGGAAGATCAGCCTTTTATCAGGTCTTCTTTAGCTCTTTCTTATTGCTATTCTTAAAACTATTTCAGAAAATCCTTACTGTCCAATTCATGCCAAATCATGAAAAAAACAGCCAAAAATTTTTTTTTTGCAGACTGAGGCTTGCAGCTCCTGGTGGAAGGGAGGCAGATAAGTCATATATGAAAAGGTAGCATTTAAAAAATTCTAAAAAGTATAAATCCATTATTGAAGTTAATTTGTGTACATCCAAAGGTATCACTAACATTTTAAAACAAACAAATGAACCCATAAGGTAACTGAATATATTTGCCACATGCTGACAAAGGGTTAAAAGTCAAAACATATATTCAAAAATACTTAGAAATCATAAAAGCTGTAGAAAATAAAGGGCAAAATTCTCAAGTAGACAAGAATCCCATTAAAAAAAAAAACAACAATTTTATTATAGAGAAATGTACATTGAATAATGAGATACCATTTAACAAATTTTCACGGGCAAAAATTTTAGTCTGATATTAGCAAATGCTAATAATAAAGATCTAGGGTAACAAGAACTCTCAAGCACTACTGATGGAATATGGGCATGTACACGAAAAACACTACCCTGGAAAGCAATTCATGTTGTCTGTGCTCATACCCTTACCCAGCAATTCCACTCCTAGTGTTTAACAAGAGAGCATTCAGCTGTGTAAAACAAAGCACATTGCAATGCAGTGTTATGGGGGTAAAAATAAGACAATTTAAATCTCCATCAACAGAAATTACGTAGGCACAGAAAACTGAATCAGTGGCGAAAATAGAACTACACATTTTAACACGGGTATGTTTCACAAGCAGATGTAGAAACATTAGAATATTTAAAATACATTTTTCAAAAAAAATTCTAAAACGTGTAAAGTGATAGTTCAAATCTAAGAAGCATGGGCACAACGAACACCAAATCCAGAATACTAGATAATTCTGGGATAGGGAACCGGAGGGCTATGCTACTGAAAATTGACATAAGGACTTAACTATTTGTTGAACAAACGCTGTGTTGACTAGCATCTTTTGTGTGACATGTCATCAGTACTTAAAAACAGCACCAGGAGGTAACTACGTTTCTAGGAGGTAAATACATTACCGAAACTCTTAAGAATGCTCCATGTCCCACAGTAAGAATTGAACAAGAAAATCCATGTTCTCCAAGTCAAGTAAAGCTGTGATACAGCTCGCCCCACTTTAACCAATCACCGCAAACCTTTCTTCGAGTCTCGGGACCTTAGCGGACTGCATTCTTTTCCTCAGACCCCTCGCTCTCCCAGAATACTCGATAGGCCGGAGGAAAGTTAGCGTTAAGTGCCTCATCAAAGTGCCTTAAACAGGCGACAAGCGATTACTCCCAACCGCCGTCAGAAGTTACCGATCCGCAAAGGCTGCTTCTCGGTCTCGGGAAACCTCGGCCCACAGCCGCCCCTAGCCATCTGCGTTTCCAAAACCCGGAGTTACCTTGCCAACAGCGTGGAGGAATTCAGATAAGCACCCTATTTGCAGTAATTTTCCAACCCTTTTGCTGAAAGTTGAGGGGGCCCTGAAAAGGGCCTTTGTTACAGAGCTCCAAGATGTTTAGCCGCCGAAGCCATACAGGGTACGGCCCTGGCGTTTGAGCGCGTAGACCACGTCCATGGCCGTGACGGTCTTGCGTTTGGCGTGCTCCGTGTAGGTGACGGCGTCCCGGATCACGTTCTCCAAGAACACCTTGAGCACCCCGCGGGTCTCCTCGTAGACAAGGTCGGAAATGCGCCTAAGCCCGCCGCGGCGGGCCAGGCGCCGGATAGCGGGCTTGGTGATGCCCTGGGTGTTGTCGCGCAGGACCTTCCGGTGGCGCTTGGTGCCCCCTTTTCCTAGGCCTTTACCTCCTTTGCCACGCCCCGACGTTGTCAAATGACTTTTGGACATACACACATTGTATGTGGCATTAATTTCAAATGTAACAGTATATAAGAAGCTATGGAACCCTGTCCCTAAATTTTCTGCAACCTTCTTGAGTATTTACAAGTGACAGGTTTGCTCTTGGGAAGTTGCTCATGGAAGGACAAGCCTCCGCGGACTATTTATTTGCCTTTTGGTGAAAGGAAAACTGTTTCCAAAAACTCAGGGAAATTGACCTGACACTGCAGATACGCTTTTTAGGAATCTAGGGTACGGATCAGAATTCAACAGAAAAATCTATTAGTGACAGGGCAAACATAAAAAGCAATTTTCTGGGTAAAAGAGAATTGGGTTCTCTTTTACTTTTATAAAAAGATTTAGGTATCTGAGTCTGTAGAAGGAGAAGGAGTAATCAGATTTCTTTCTTTTTTTTGGCAAACCTTGGCTCTGACCACTCCCCTACAACCCTGTTCTTTGTTATGTCGTGAGTAAGGGAGTGAGAGGAGG